TAGATAGGCCTTATTATATGGCGCACGCATCCTTCAACTTCAACGGTCGTCGGTGCAGCGAAGAGCGCTTGAAAGAAATGAGATCCGCACCAGGTGCATAATCTCTGCTGATGCATAACCACAAGGAAATATTTGCATTAAAACTGCAATTCATTCAAATAAAAAAATAAAATTGGGTAGGAGCTGCTTTAAGACCTAAAGCGAATTCCTAAAATAAGCTGTTAGTTCATGTTTGTTTCCACAATTAGCAGATTTGGAATTATTAAATTGATACCTTTATCAAGTTAGCTCTTATTTGGCATGCAAACTTGTAAACATATAGAAACGTTGCAATTAGGATATTCTTAATTATATTATAACTATATGTTTTCAAGTGTTCCGTGAAACTATTGATACTTACACTTATTTTACCTGTTCTCTACACGCATTTCTACAAATGCCCAGAATTGGTGCACTTCTTGGCTAATCACAATTCTCGCCAACGCGGGGCGCAGTATTTTTTTAGTTAACTCTTCAAGCAAAAGGTGTCGCCACTACAGGGAACACTTACAAAACTCTTATAAAAAATATATAGGTTGTAAAAAAGTTGTACTTTAAAGTAGTTATTCTCGAAGAAAGAAAGTTGCCGGCTACGGGTAGTAATTGGTTTCAGAAAACCAACTGCCTTCGAATGCTCACAGAATTTTTCAGAAGCATATAACTATTATTTCAAATTAGTTATTCAGATACCATTTCAGATCTTCAAACCATACATGGCGAATTTCTAACGCAACGTGCCAAAGGCCTTTCGATTTTTCAATCCATCTGCATCAGCCACTCCATCGGCTTGCACTTGATAATTGATTGCGGGCTGTCTATAGAAATAACCCCTCGTCTCGTATTCGCAACCCAAATCGGAAACCAGCACGCGCCACTTCTTCAGCGCCCCGTTTGGTTTGGGGCAACATGTGGCTGGGTGTTCCGTTCTGCAGGTTGGCTGGCCTGTTAGGATTGGAATGGAACGCATTATGTTTCTCGTTTTTGTAACCATTGGCCCACGGCCCACGGCCCACCGTTGCCATCGACCCCTTTTTTCAGGGCCCGCAGGCTCTTGACTTGTGCTAATTAACTGTGAGCAAAATCAGGCGAAACGCGCTTTAATTGAATCAAAAACGAAAACTGAACAGCATTTAAACAATATTTCGAATTGCGCTGCTGCAGGAGGAAGCGGCAAAGCGGCCAAGTGGCCAAAGTACAAGTATATATGTATTTCCGCTGCTCCCCTTCGGATTTTCTTGCGCCACATTAAGCACACACAAGGGAAGGGGGGTGGGCGAGGGAATGGAGTTTGGGATAAAAGTAACCATTTGACAACATCATCGCCATGCTCCCCTTTTCGAGCTGATTAAATTGCTACTTACTTCAGACGATGAGGATGATGACGGCGTCTTCGTTTTGGTCGCCGCCTTTGTTCCCGTCCACCTTTTCAATAGCTGGCGATATTTTTCCTCCTGCTTCCCGTTCATTTTTTTGGCCCAAATGTGTCTAGCACTCGGCCCTTTCCCGGCCCTCCAGTTGGTTACCTTAAGTGGCAGCAGGGCTGCCTATCGTATATCCTTGGGCCGAGCCCTTTAGCCCTTCGAGTACTCGAATCCGTAAGAGCGTAAAACTATTTATGGATATTTGTCGCATAAACAAGTTGACCCGAAGGACTGAGGATGGAGCTGCTGCGTTGAGAGCTTTAAGATACAGTACACTCAAGCAACTTCCCAAACTAACGAATAGTTCAAGGAATTTCATCTGTTATCAGTAACATGCTTTAAATCGGAGTATCATCACGTTGTTAGGTATTTATAATTGGAAGAGTGCCGTTTGTGGGCCAAACTTCCTTGCAATTGCATTCAAAGGTGGAGCCTTTTTCTAAGTGTACGTGTTCGCCTTGCACACTTCGATTTCTTCGCTTAAGTCCGGACTTATCCTTTAAGCGGCTTAAAGAGGTTACACCAACTTATCGCATGTTTAGCAGCCAACGAAGCTCGAGGCAATGAAAAAGTTTTAGTTTCGATTTCCGTCTGGCCCCTGCGAGATCGCTTTCAATTTTAATGATGATGGGTTTATTGTATGATTTCTTTTCGCTTTTGTTTATGCTGCTGCCGCTCATAACTTGTCATAAATTTGACAGGCGAACTGGCATGCGGGTCCATTATAATCGCATATATCCGAATGCGGGGAGCTCGTCTTCATCTTCCGATGATTCCCACATAGTTTTGAATTGCAAATAATAATGACGCACTAATTGCAGCGAGTTAAAGAATTCCCGGGCCGTACTTGGCCTCCCTCAATTGGGCAACCATAAAACCGAACCGAAACCAGAGGCCGTCCAAGTAAAAGTATATTTTACGACGGAGCAATTGGCTATGAAATTAATTTTAGTGGAGGACAGAAGCTGTTAGTTGCAGTCCCCGAGGCAGGAACTGAAATTAATGTCGCGTGCAGCGGCAAAATGAAGGAAGCGTTCCCCTTTCTCCCTGCTCCTCCGTTTTCTTCCTCCCAACTTGTGTGGCATATAGAGCATTTAGAGTGTCGTTTACCTGGCGCGTTCTTTGAAGTCGATGGCTCTTTGAAGTGCTGCTAGTCATAATCATAATAACTGCAACGGGTGGCGCCCTTTGGCCAATTAGGAGGATTTTAGGAAGCACCGCGAATGAGATCGCTGACCACTTGAGATGATTGAGCGATTCGGGCCAACAGCGAAAAACAAGACGTCATCTTGTGGCAGGTGTCTGTAAAAATGTTTAGACTTCTGCCCAAAAAGCTTGGCAAGTGTTTGATTTACCTGTGTATGTTTTCTGCTCCAGACGAAATTTGTTTTCCATAAACAACTTCGAGAGAAATGGAATTTTCTCTCGCAGGTGGAAAAACACAGGAAATTGCTTACAACAGTTTAAAGTGAAGTTGCCACTTCAAAGTGCTTTTTTCGGCGACAATTAGCCGAACCTTCAAACGGACCTCAGTCATGCCATTGTCACATTAGATGGAGCTGAAAGTGGGGAGTTGTTGCACGTTGCACGGCCTTTGAATTGCTCAAAATGTTTTGACATTGCAATTTTACGCTACATTAAGCATTCCCACAGTCACTCAACCTTTTCTTGCCATTAAGGGGTTATATTTTCCAGGCCTAATTACTCTGGAATCAAGTGAACATTCTCTGAGGAATATTAGTTTTTCAAATTTATTAAAACGAAACAACACTTTTGCTTCAGTTTTGCAAACTTTCCCTTACATATAAGCTAGCTTTTAACCATTTATTCAGGAAATTAAAGACCATGCACCACTAAGGGGCACCCAATGGTTTCTTTAGATACTTGTGTTGCTCCTCAGCGGACTCAATCTGTAGATAAACCCTTGGGATGGCTAATTCCTTTCGAGCCCCTCGCTATCGATGGTGTATTGACAGCACTTCGGCGATGAGATTAACCGATCATGCCACCGCCGAATCATCGTCAATCACTTCCATATCAGCAGCTTAAGTAGTTCATTAGAAACCATTAGAATGGAGGCCCGGGGCAGAGATTACTCGGCGTCTCGTTCCCTCCTTCTTTTCTCCGGAATGGGATGGGATCTCAAAGTGCCGCAATGGAAAGGCACTTGAGCAGCGATTCCCTCACCTTTTCTCTCCCAAAGACACGGGCCCATTGTCAAGCCAATAAAACTGGTCAGCTCCGATTCTCCAGCCTCGGCTCTCGACTTTTGTCCCATGCCCATGCCCAATTCCATGCCCGATTCCATGCCCGATTCCGATTCCCATCGGACAGACACTTATCTTTTTTGGGGACTGGGGGCGCTTGTAGTTGGGAGTGTAAGTGTAAGTAAAAGTAAATTAGATAAACGCCGAGAACGAACAATCATGCCATACAGTATAGCATATTTACTGGCCTTCTTGGAGCGTTAAAATGAATCTTAATTGAACCAAAAAAGACGACGGCGATGAACGATGAACGATCAAAGTCGGCCGAGCAAAGTGCCGCCTTTCGATCGATGGTGCAGGAAATATGCCTGGTCAGAGCTCAATGAAATCGACAAATGTTTGGACAAATAGGAAAACCAAGCGATGATTTTCCCCCGTTGTTGTATTTGTAATTAACTTGTGCAAATATTGGGCGCTGGTCAGGTAAGAGTATGTGTGGAAGAGTATCGCTGGGTTTTGGGTCAAAAAATGTAGCTAAAAAATTTTGCCGAGTGCCTTGCCCTTTCGGGAATGTGCGTAGAGTCTTGGAGAGCGAGAGAAAAAGGTAAATAACAAACAGCTAGAGTTGAAGACAAGTGGAAAGGTGAGTTGTGTGCACAGGGAGAAAAGTATTTACCCGATTTTAAATTATATTTTGCTCAGAAAAACCTCAGACATTTACTTTTTGGAAACAGAAATCACGCATTTAGGAATACTTCTCAATATTTCAGATTACTCTTTTCAAAAAGCCTCAATTTCATTCTAAAGACTTCCAAAATATGTGGTATATACCACAATTTTTTCGCAGTGTTCCGGATGGATAAGCCTAAGGAGGAAAGTGTCTTAGAGATTGAAAGAATGCCTGATGGATGGACTGGGCAAGCAAACATGGAAAACCTCAGCAAACCAAACCCCGGTTTATCTGGCGAAGGAAAAGATAAACGAAGTGGCCGGAAAATGCGCGGTAGCTGGTAGTTGGAACAAGTGACTAACCCAGAGACACTTGCCTGCCAATTAGCCACGGAGCAATTACGACTGACAAGTTGTCGCCGTAATTAATGAAGTGATGTCCACATATTGTGACGGCGATCAATTGGCGGCCGTCGAACATGCAACATGTTGCAAGTTTGTCACTGGCTGCGCACGCATTTCGGCTGCCCATCATGCGCCAACCACGACCGCGTTTGCCTATCAGAACGGCCACCAAAGACGGCCAGGCACAGCGGCAACACCACCAGCAACAGCAGCAGCAGCAGCAACAGCAACAGCAACAGCAAAAGCAGCAACAGCAGCAGCAGCAGCAACACCATCGGCAACGGCAACGGCAACACACGACGGTCGGCTGTCGAAGATTCAGATTCAGTCGAGTGCCGAACGAGCTGATGGACGCACGTGTGGCGCGTTGGTTCAAGAAATCCCAAGCTGAAATCCCGAAATCAGACTCCAGCAAACAGACAGTAACGCAAAAAGCGAGACTCGCACGAATCACAAGTGTTGGGAAAGCGTGAAAACCGCTGGCATCCGGAAAAACAAAAAGCAAAAGCAAGTCCCGAAACTCCAGTGGATCCCCGGTGTGTGATAACTGCTGTGATCTGTTAGCTGCGCTGCGTATGGCGAGTGGCCGGCCGGCCGGCCCCAAGAAAATTCTGTAAATGCGTGGCGGCGACTTTTCATGTGCTGCGGAAAACCCTCGAACCCAGGCTGCCCAGATGGATGGATCGGCGGTATAGAGGAGCACTGGCGACGGCGTCGCTGGCGGTCAGCAACACTCATTGCAGCAGCAGCAGCAGCAGCAGCAGCAACACCTTCGAAACGGGTTTCCCCGCGTTTTGATACGCCCGTTCACGGTCTCGGGAGGGGGGAAAGTGCGCCTTTTGATCTAGCGCTCTGCGATCGGAGAGATTTCGATTTCCCAGGAAGCGCAAAGGAAAATACCACACGGGAAAAACGCACATAGCTTAAGCAAATAAATCATATTCTGCCGCTCGAAATAACAAGAGAAAAACGTTTGAAGTGCCAATGTGAAAAGTTAAAAGTTTATGCGGTCCACTAACAAGCGGGAAAACAAATATGTAGCTGTCTGAAACCAGCAAGTGGAAATCAAACGAAAAGTATTAAGCAGTCCAAAATAAGTTACACAAAAATAAAACAAAATTCACGCAACTATCCAAGCACATAATCTCAAAACAAAAACGCATCGAATAGAATATTAAACAATTTTTATACGGCCACTTAACAATTTTATATTAATCGCAATCGCAATCATTTTGACAAGCATACAAGAAGTAAACTTACTTACAACGCTAAAGAGATAACATAAATATTTAATAACGTAGAGCCCTAGCATCTAGTAATTTATTAACTAAAGTAAAGTACTTACCACAAAAGCATCCACAATATATCACGCCAAAAAGTAGACTATAGAAACCGCATTTAGCAAAATCCACAATTCACCAACAACCGCTTCGATAATCCATAATAAGTAATAACATAATAAAGTCCAATAAACCAGTAAAATGCCATCGTCAACGGGAGTCTTTGTGCTAATGATCATCACCCACCTGAGTTTGGGCCAGGTGCGAAACGAGGACCAGCTGCTGCTGGTTGGCCAGAATGGCGATCTCGACAGCAGCAACCCTGCAATTCACCACCAGCAGCACCAACAGCACCAGACACACCAACCACACCAACAACACCAGCCACACCAACAACACCAGCAGCACCAGAGCAACCACAATCTGAACACCGGGAACATGAACAGCACGATACTGAACACCCTGATGGGAAACACTGCTGGTCAGGTGGTGGTGAGCAGTTCCCCGGGTGGCGGCGGATCCATGATCAACCAATTGGGCAGCAGTACATCGAGCGTGCCCTCGGCGATTGGAGGCGGCGTGGGGTCCGTGGGAAGCCCCTGGCACTCGGCTGTGGGACTCGGAGTTCCTGGCAACGGCATGGGGCTACAGTCGGCGCGGGATCACGGTCTCGGCGGCAACATGGGCGCCCATCCGCATGGACACGCTTTGGCAGGACTGGCCAAGTTGGGCATCATAGTGCCCGGCAGCCAAGGATTACCTGGGAGTCTGGGCTACGGCGGAACCATGCTCACTGGCGGCGGAGTAGGAGGCGCTGCCGGAGTGGGCCTAGGAATCGGCTCCAGCTCTAATAACATGGATATGCAGCCAGGCATTTACAAGTGAGTCAATCTAGAGCTTCGAGCACTCCCCTTCTCAATTGAACTGAAATCTTATCAATTGATGGAGATCTTTCACTCGGCCATCAAATTGTTTTGTCCTACGAGCATTTCTGCAGTCGCTGCGTTTTATGGGCGCTTTTTATGCGGCTTTTTGTGGCCCCAACTCCAGTTGGGCAATCAACGTTTACAATTATTTTCTGTGTCCGCAATTATTAAAACATGCCCACATGTTCGAGTTTAACCCATCTTGTGAACTCTGGCTTGCTTGGGATTCTGATTTCTTAACTGAACAGCCCTCGGTGAACTTTGATTACATAAAATCGACAATTTATGGCTAGAGCAAGTCGGATCGCGGTAATTAGGTGAATTGAAGGGCTCTGCATGGAGGAGCACAAGTGGCGGGGTTCCTAAATTAAAATATAATTACATCAATGCAAGGTCAAAAGCTTTTGTTTTAATCTGTAGAGCCAGACCATAAATAGTTTTGATCGATTAAGCAAATATGTTTTCGCTGTGCCGCATTAGTTTTCACTTTAGTTTTTGGGTATTATTATTATAACCAAAAAAGTACACGATACAAAATAAAAATGTTCAAAGATGGACCGGACCAAATTCTAGAAATCGAACATATTGGTTTCCTGTTTGCCGAAAATCTGGATGTATCTGGCCGTCCTCAAACGCTTTTATAATTCTGAAAAGTTCATAATAATCGCTTCCTGATCTGTATATCTCCAGCGCTCCTCTGATGCGGCAATTTACTTGCCAAGCCAAATAAATAAAATACCGCGAAAAGTGCAGCAGTCGGCATCCGAGTGCGAGTCCAACTTCAAGCCCTTTTCAGTTTGCGATACTCCCGAGTTGCTAATCAGTTGCAATGCAACGCAAGTAGAAACCCACGCAGAGGGTCCGGGCTGGGTTTAAACAATAAAGTAAAATTATTTATATTTGTTTTCCTGGCGGCTGGTGCTCCTCGGCAGCCTTTTTGCTCCATTCAGCGGCTGTCAGCCGAAACCTTCTGAAAAGGGGGTGCTGCAATTGTGGGGGGTTGTCGGTTGTCAAAATGCTGCTAGCCGCCTTTTTTATGATTATTAGCAGATGCGAACAGCAGTGGCAAGAGGCGGGGGCAGGGGCAGGGGCAGGGGCACGGATGGGGCAGCTGCGGTGGCGGAGCGTAAATTTTACTTACACTTCACCATTAATTTGCCCACTGACAGGGCAGCCATGGGTGGGGGCCAACGGGCAGGACCACCAGTTATTATTTGTCATTACAAAACCACCCAGCAAAAGGGGAAAATCCCATAATGTTCCTGTAGCTGGAGGGATGAGATTCTGCACTGCGCGGCTTTTCTGAGTCATAGGTGTGCTCATGAATATTTTAAAAACTTGTCAGCATTTCCTGCTGGAATATTTAATTTATTTTATTATTTATTTGCGCAGCCACAATAGAAGTTGTGTTTTTTCTCATGAAAAGACATTGCACAGATTGCGATAGAAGCTAACAAAAGCAGAAATCTGTAGGATATTTGAATGCAGAAAAAGATTTCAGTTACATATATCAGTTAAGGCTTTTGGGCGAAATTAACAAATTATGCTGGAAATACACAGACCATATTAACAAATATTTTTCCGTGCGTATGAGCTTGAAGCCCTTTTCGCAATTGGCAATTCTTTTTATTACACAATGCTCCTGGTGGGTGAAAGGCTCCTCCTGGAGCACTTGCTGGGGTAGAAAGTGTTTCACTTATTTTGCCTTTTTTGCATTTGTTTATTTCCTTGCGAGCACATGCATTGACCCAAGCGGCCAGACGACGGAAATCGATAGACAGGGGATCCCATCCAGAAAGCCCAGTCCGTCCAGTTCCGCTCGATTCCGGGCCCAGCTGAATGGCAAGTCGGTGTCCATTTAGACGCGCTGCTTGATTACAATTAATCGGCTTATTTGAGCAAGACATCGTTTGCTGTTGGCCATTACACTGGAAGGTAATACGGAGGGTAATATGTGTGAGTGTGTGCCCCCCATTTTCCGACCCCCCAATTGCCCCGTAATTGCGATCAGGTGGCAGTGGCAGTGCAAAGTGCGACTTTATTGATTCGAAATGTCAGCACGAATCGCAAAAGCCTAATCAACACTCAAAGCTGCCCAAGACACACTATGTGATTTCCAAGGGTTTGGTTTTGAAGCATATAACTCGCCAGATTGCATTTGTGGCCTAATGAAGTTGGCTTAGGCAATGATTGCGGATACTCGAACTACAGGCCCAATTTTGTATAAAAAAGTAGGCAAGTAGGTAGTATAGTCCATTCGATAATTATTCCATTTGGGTCCTCAATCAATTGAGCCCATTAAAAAGCCATTCCCCTTGAGCTGGCCACTTCAACACCTGCCTAAACCATTTTGCCGGCCCAGCAAATCACAGCACTAACCCTTCACCAGAATCTCGACTCTCGAATCAATTTGCCCGTGCCCGGCTCGAAATCAAAATGTGAACGAGATTCTGGAGCGACTACGCGACGCCTGTTTACACAATCAATATGCACAAAATGCTGATTAGGGGATGTAATGAAAATTTAATAATTGCTGTCAGGGGGCATTCTCGACGCTGATGATGAAGTTCCCTCCACAAAACTTGGAGTTGCGAAAGACTGGCGCAATTAATCTCCCATGTCAGGGTTGATCTGGCGATGAGAGTCGGTAGTCCAGGAACCAGAAGTCCCGTATAGAAGCCACGGGGTTGGTTTCAGTTTCAGATTCTGATTCAGATTCGGATTCAGCCTTTTGACGGACCCAAAGGCAAAAGGCAAATAATGTAATAATGTTTGACAGTCTGCGTCACCGTTCTGTTCGCCGTCGTTTGTTGTTTTGTTAACAGGCATTTATGACATTATGCGGCGCAGAATTATGTTGTTACAACCCCGCCGGATCTGAGTTCCGCATCCGCATCGGTATCCGTGTCCGTATCAGGAACCCAGACTGGCTTTGTGTCCTTCCGCGATTTCATTGGCCTTACAGCGGCAAAAATCTGTTTAATTGTGCGTAAGACAAGCTCCCCTGCCAACTGCCGAACTCAAATATTTGTCAAAGAGTAATTAAAACTTACTTACCGTTTCCTTGGTAGCCTCACCCTGCCGTTAGGTCCTTGCTTTCATGTCCTTACTTCATTGGGCGTCTGAATGCCAACTATGGTGCAAGTTTCCATTGTTGCGGATAACAACTTTCCGACTATATCATCTTAGTTCAGTTGGGCTGAGTGGCGTTTGTGTGTAACCCTGGCGGAAGCATAAAAATGCTAATTTACAAGACACAAGAAAAGCCTTTGTTTGGCCGCAAATTATGGTCAAGTCGAGGGGTTTTCCTGCGGGGTTTCCCTCGGGCTTTTCCTCTCAACATCGACGATAACGATTATGTGCAAAGTTTTGTTTTTTACTCTGGCCGCAAAATTAAAAATATCCAGGCGAATTCTGCGACGACTGCAGTTGGCATCGCCATGTGGCACCACCCCGAATTTATTTGTCTCAATAAGACGACAATGAAAATGTCGGCGGGTCTCGAGGTTCAGATTTGGTAATGGGATGGAACAGCAGGATGAGGGGCAGCAGCTGGCCGACTTATGAGTCTTGTGCTTCTTTCTGAGAAATGTAATTTCAGGCACTTCTTGTTTTCTTGTACGAGTATTACTTCATGTTCCACTGACAGTAGGTTCACTTATTGCAATTCATTAATGGATCTCATACCACAAACACCTTAACCTAATTTCCTCTCGACATAAAATTAGCTGAAATTATTATCTGAAACATTTTCATCTCTTATTAAGCCCATATATTAGCCATCCAATTGAAGATCTGCGGCGAGGAATTTCCAATCATTATGCTAATAAATTACTGATTATTCGACTCTGGAATATTCCTGCCTGTCGAGGCGGTTAAAGTATTAGCACTTCGTTGTTTACGGAAAATATTCCCCACAGCATTTTCTAGTGATTTTACGGCCAACAATTTGCCTGCCATTTGCCATTTGCCATTTGAACTTTTTAATTTTGTCGTGTTTGATGGCTGCGTTTTATGAGGCCGTTGTCTCTCAACTTGGACTGCTTCTCGACATCTTTTTATTCCTCCAACTCCTGAAGGCATTTCCGTTGCCGAGGTTTTGTCTCTTAATGATAAACTGGGGTTCAGTTCAACTCCGTCTTCGTTTTGGACTTTTTGTGAATAAGTTTTTCCCGTTTTGGGTAAATTCCTTTATGCCGAATGTCCTTTTGTTGGAATGAAAGGCGGGCAAAAGGAAAAGCTAAAGCTGCGCCATAAAAGTTTAAACAAAAAGCAGCTGCCAGACGAGGGAGCACACAAAAGCGAGATCGGAGTCATAAATTGGCCATGATGAAACCCAATAAAAATGCCAGCACAGAAATGCCGATGATTCTGTGTCGATGCTGCTGATGATGAACAACTCCGTGGAACCGAAAGGAAAATGCATTTCCGAGGGTTGCAACTGCCACAACAATAGAATGGATTCGGCTGCCTCAGCGCAGCGTTCCCATGACACAAAATGCATTTTCATGTAATCGTCGGAAAGTGCGTAGAGAAAATCGTCCAAATGACTTAAACAAATCAGGCAGCTCGAAGCCGGATTCCGAAGCGATTCGAGCGTGAAGCCCAAAATCAGACAACAAAACGCTCATATTGAAAGGTGTAAAAAGTAAGACAAACTTCGAGGAGCAGATGCAGAAACAGATTAAAGATCCAAATGCAGATGCGCACTTGAAAAAATACCTGTGCATTTACCAAAATATCTATTTTTGGGATCAGCTCAATTTTATTAGCAGAAATACACGCGACAAAGTTGTTTCTCAGAATTAGATGCAATTGGCTTTGCTTGGTTGTACTTATAAGTCTTCTGAGGTGCCCAGCTATTTCTCTTAGTGCACCGACAAATGCTGTTTTAGGCGGCAGCCAAGTGCAAGATGCGGTTGATTCTGTTTTATTTCATTTCTTGGAGTTTGCCG